TGGTGTTTTCATTTTTTTTTTTCATTGTAATAAATGTATATATATTTTTATTTGTGGAAAGTTTTATTGTGTGGAAAATTGTGAATAATATGTATCTTCTGTGTTGAGTTAAAAAAATAAGTTACACAAAAAGTCTATGCGTGGTAATTAAGCTAGATATAAATCTACTTTTTATACACAATCAACAAACATTAAATTTTAAAGTAATTTTTTACATAATATACACGTTTACACTTAACGCATTTCATTTTATGACTTTTAAAAAATGATTTCCTTAATTATGTGGCTGTTATAAATAATTTAATTCTGATTATATATGTTATAAGTTTGGTCGCCCATATAGGTTTTGTGCCGCCACCACGTTCAAGCTCTATAGCTTTCAGATGGCGGACTTTTGTCAATTTTGAAATGCTTTGTGAACGATGTGTGTTTTGAAAGGTACAATTATTTAATTGATTAATATTATGATAATATAATAAATGTATTTTATCTATTGTTAGTAATATATTAACTTAATTTGTATAAATTACTTTGTTATCATGTTGAAAAATGCAGGAAAAAAAAATCAAAATCCAACAATCCAACAGATAAATTCATAAATATCGATACGCACATTTTCATCGTGGAAGTTGAATTGTTTTTGAGAGTTCTATGTTCTTTTTTATCCTCTGTTAGTTTTGTTTCATCTTATCAGCCTTGATCTGGCAAGCTTCAACTGTAGGTTAGTATTATATTTTGTTAAGTTTTTAAAAATATAGAATATAAGATATCATACATTTATTATTTATGGAAGAACTTAAATTATATTTAAGAACCTAACAACTGCCAAGTGCATTGTCTTAAACAGGTTAAAATTCTTAAGAAGTCCGATGAGAAGGAAAACAATAGAACAGAGAAATCTTGTGTCATCCTTTACCAGCATTATGATTTCACACTTTATTATTTTGTAATTAAAAGAATGATTTTTGTTAAACGGAAGAAAATAATGGGTGATATGGCATGATATTTTGGCTCCCATTGAACAGGGGTTGAACAATTGACTAAAAGTAGCTTCATATTTCCATTTAATATTCAAAAGCCCACCCCTTCCCATTCATGCCCATTTTCTCATTGTCTAATTCCATTTTCTAAATTGGATACATACTACTTTTAAATTTACTTCATCCCAAGTATTTGTAGGTACACTGCAAAAACCAGGGTGTTAAGTTTCTAACACCAGCACGGAATAGAAAATATAGAATTTCACGTCCGTTCAACATCAACAGAGTGTCGAAATATTTAATTACAGGTTGATGTTCCGAGTCTTGGCGTTATGGTGTTGGACTTGCGCATACGCATAAGTTAGTGGATTCGAGCAAAATCATTGGACGACAGTTGTCATATGACATGACGTCGTATCGTGCATGCGCGCGCTAGCTGTCAAGAATCTCTTCGGGATATCGTGGTTATGGAATTTTTTAGTCAAGGTCTGAGTATCATATTTTATCAGCGCAATCATGCCGTTAAGTGTGAAAAATTGTTCTGCAGACAGAAAAGTTAGAAAATTGTTACCACTAAATCCAACAGACATGTTAAATCATTGGTATTGATTAAAAAAAAAAAACTTGATTAAATTCTACACACCACTGGCACTGGTATTGAAAGAGATGGTGTTGGAGTTTTTAACACCAAAACTAGAATTGAACTTTAACACCAAGTTGAAATAATGGTGTTAGATTTTAACACCAAAGGCGGAATTACTTCAACACCAAGAGTGGAATTGAATTGTTTAATTCCAAACCCTGGTGTTTTCCGATATAGATACCTGGAAAGTGTTAAAATTAACACCCATGGTGTTGAATTCAACACCCTTGTTTTTGCAGTGTAGCAATACTGCCAATGCATGTGATCAGACTTAATTCGGGCGGATCCAGGATTGTCTGAAAGACCGACAATTTTCAAAGACACGTAATTCGAGAAAATCCAGTTGACCCTTTATCCAGACTCCCGGCTTTTGGTAGGGGCGGAATAAGAAAAGAATATCTATAACCCATTACTTGGATCATGTTTTCGGGAATCCAGCCGCCCCTCCTGATGCCCAATGACGAAGGCAGATGGGAGCGTCTCGGAATACTATATTTTTTTTAGTCCTAAAGGTTTTTGTTTTTTCTTTCCGGGTGCGTTTGAGCCCACCCCTTGGTTCTCCTACTCATAATTAGCATTTGACAATGGTTTTAACTTTATCCCATACAGGCACGGTACGCCAGGACCAACACACATTTACCATGACGCAGGCAGAAGACAGTAACTCGCAAGTAAACAAATCGCCCAGCAATGCCGAGATCAAAACAGATTCACTTATCGAATGCGCGTCGTTGTGCGCACTTTCTAGGAATTGTTCGACATTCGCGTACAGGCTGAACGGGATGTGCATCACTTCAACGAGCTCTGTCTCAGTTGGATTTCAAAGTTATGCGACAATTAATTAAAAGTTATTTTAAAAAAAATAAAAAAATGGTTGCACTGTAAATATCTGAACATGTCAAGGAATGCAGCGTACTTGTATGGCGTGGTATACTGATTAACACTTTAGCTAGGTCAGGGGCAGTAAAATCTGTTTACCGACCCCCCCCCCCACCTCACACACACACACACGCGCACGCATGCATACACATGCATTTTTCGAGATTCCAAAAGCTCTATTCAATATGAAAGAGTGCCCCTTAACAAAAATAGGCCCTGAGCAATGTAGTATATTCCCTTAATTATTAACTGTAAATAATGTACATGTATCTATAAAATATGATAATATATTGACGAGAATGTTTCGCTCCTAAGTTCAGAGATTAAAAGTGTTGGCGACAGATTAATGTTCCATAAAGCCTAATGTAGCATGGAAAACCGTTTGTAAATGCATGTATTGAAGATAGTATTCAAAATCTTGGAAAGGTAAAATAAAAAAGTCAGGCATGGTGAACAGCAAAGAAGTACACTGAATTCCAACACTGGCATTTTCAGGAGGTTACATACGGATTACACTGACAAATAAATATCAATAAATTCTCCAATGTTAAATTAACTCTTTATTTGTCTTGTGCTTCTACCGACTATTCATTGTTCATACCAAATTACAGGTATTACAAAGTTTTGGTAATTTTTGAAAATTGGCTAGATAGTGATTCTTTACAATGTTGATATATTTGGATGCCCCCATGGATGTTTTATAAGCACTAAAAAAATTGGCCCCTAAAACACTTCTGCTTTCGAGAATAATTGAATATAAAAATTTACCGATGCTCCCGGTAAATTTTGATACATTTCAAATAGCGCCTACGGCCATACGATGGTAAAGCTGCGACCATGAAAATATCAGAATATGCAGTTGTGATACATAATAAACGGTAGTTGCAAATCGGTCGATTTTAGTCAAATAACATTGTTTTATAGCTAAATCAATATCTTGACCTTGAGAGGGCGCTATACAACATAAAGAGTTTATTATTTACAATTTCATCATTTTAGACTTGATTTCAATCGAGACAACGATCACTAAATATTGTAGGATCGCATATGCTTCCAATATGTTCATCTGAACCTAATTTATGACCCCAAACCAAAACTTTGTATTACCTTTAAAATGATTTTAGTCACTTTATGAAGAAGAAAACAGCAAATATAATCTGAAAGTTTCATATTTTCAAAACCTTTCATTATATGAGATTGAATGATGGTTGGTTCACTCGGGTGACTTGAAAGCTCAAGCCCGGCGCACATTACACGATCCGACTGCGATTAGCTTCTTGAAGAAATGGCGATTACATTAGTTATGGAAATATAAACAAACATCTTACTCCTTAATTAGGTTCTTAATAATGATACGAGTACTGACAACCAGAATTGTACTGCCTTTACGCCTTCTAGTCAGAATAAGTGCTGAACCGGCTTCAAATCGTAGAAAATCGTACTACTAGGGGGGGGGGGGGGTGTTTCACAAAGATTTTAAGTTGAACTTATCTCTAAGTTCGACTTAACAATTATGGAAAGCCGTTAGCATCATTGAAAATATTTTGTAAAAATTATTTTAAAAAGCATAAAATGTTGAATCAAATCATTCATATTTTCTATTATCTTGGGAGATTTCATGTTCTTAATGTGGAATTTATGAAAAGTCTGAAATACTTAAATGTATTTGATTATAAGGCTACAAATGGCTCTCCATTATATTTAAGTCCAACTTAGAGTTAAGTTAGACTTAGAATCTTTATGAAACACCTCCCAGGTCTGACGTCACTACAATTCTGAGCCGATTTAGCTTTTCTTCCTTCAAGGAAGCTTGAAATCCCCTTAATTTTTGTTTGTTTAAATCAATCACATGACTAATCACATCCTCAAGATTTTACTTGTTTAAATGTTCATATAAAGTGCCGTTGTAAATTATTATACATGAATCGCAGTCGGATCGTGTAGCGTGCGCTGAGCTTTAGGCCGATGTTAATGAAGATTGCATGGAAAATGATGGAGATGATCACGATAGACTATGGCATAGCAGGATAAGGGAGGGGGGCACATGTCTCTCTTAACTTTGTGTCCCCATGCAGGGTCGAATGGCGAAAATGGGGGAGGGGGGGGGGGGAGTGATAAAGCCAGCAAGGCAAGGTAAAAAGATGAGACAATTAAATCGGCTATTAAAATCACTTGATGGTCTAGCTTGCTCTCTTGTATTTCATCCATCTGGTAAGCCCAGTGAAATCAGAAGTCTTTGGTGGTCTGTACTTGGTTTGTATGACCTTAATCATTCGTTATAAAAACATACGGTATCATCCTCCATGCATCATCTGAATAAATGCGACCATTTCATTTTCATAGACAGCCACTTAGACATGAATATATATATCAAGGGGTTGAAAGGATATATCATGTTAAAAAAGTGTTAATTGTCCAAAGTAGCAAAAAACGTGTTTTGAGAATAACGTGACTTTGGTAACATGCAACAAAAGAGAGACAGAGATGGCACCTTGACATCTTTTATGTATTTAAAGCTTGAACATTTATTGTCACTCTCATTCATATCTGTGGGAACGATTTGTTGGAGTAAAGCAAACTTAGAATATCAAAATTGCACAAAGATTCCCCCCACACATGTACATAACGGCAAATAAATGCAGAATAATGATCCATGCAAATACATGTACATATAACCCCTCTAAATGATGACAGTAACCCCTCTTAATCATTGACACTAAAACCATTTTGCCCCTTGTATTTCATTAATATAACTATTAACTATAACATCCAGCTATAACTATAACAACAAGTATAATTCTGTATAAATGTTAAGGCTACTTTCAGTAAGGCAGATAATGCAATGGACATCACTCGACAAGTAACCTAAGACAAAATACAAAACTTCTAGTTAAGCCTATCATCATACGAGTATAGTAGACTAAATAACACTGTTAAGTAATTACTGCTACCTGCTATGTACAGGAAGAATAACAACTTATAAACACTTTTATGTTTAATAGAGAAATAATTACAAATGTATTTTTTTGAAAGCCCAATTACATTGATGAATGATGGATTTGTTCATGACATGGGTGCAGCAGCTACAGGTCTACTTTCATCAAATCTTGTGTCTAGTAAAGAATCAATGGTCATTAGCAATAATAGAACTTATCTTTCTTAATATTTTCTTTTAATATTCATCAGAAAAAGCATGGATATGAATACATAATATTTTTGAAAATGTCATTTATATAGAAAGGGTGGACATAGTATATCAGATTGACAAAGAGCTCATGCATCTCTGAGCTGGACATGAGTTTCATTTGTCATGTGAATGAAGGCTTGGATAATACGAGGCATGAACTCATACAAACATGTTCAACCAGCTGCAGACTATGCATCTTTAAATAAAAAACCAACTGAACATTTTCAGAAGGAAACATACAAGTCCTCATTCCTTAGCATAGGAAAATAGTCAAACTGTTCATCTTCATACTACTCCATTTGATATCCCCAGTTTGTGTTGCAACATGGTCGCTGTCTTTCTGAAGTCCTCCTCCATGAGTTCAATCTTCTTAAGGTCGCTGGTCACCCCGTCCCTGAAAGGACTCACATGACCCATGTCCTCCGCATGCTCGTTGTTGTCATGGCTACCATAATCCTGTCCAGTGGGAGTAGGGGCGGGGCACCTGCGCTCGTTGCTATGGAGGGATCTTGAGTTGAGCCCAATGTACGCCTTGGCACT